ATGTAACTTAATACTTTTATTGTGGTGCTACTACATGATGTAACTTAATACTTTTATTGTGGTGCTACTACATGATGTAACTTAATACTTTCATTGTGTTGCTACTGCATGACGTAACTTAATACTTTTATTGTGTTGCTACTACATGATGTAACTTAATACTTTTATTGTGGTGCTACTGCATGATGTAACTTAATACTTTTATTGTTGGTGCTACTACATGATGTAACTTAATACTTTTATTGTGGTGCTACTACATGACGTAACTTAATACTTTTATTGTGGTGCTACTACATGATGTAACTTAATACTTTTATTGTGCTGCTACTGCATGATGTAACTTAATACTTTTATTGTGGTGCTACTGTATGATGTAACTTAATACTTTTATTGTGGTGCTACTACATGATGTAACTTAATACTTTTATTGTGGTGCTAAGAAATAAAGTACTTACCCGAATCTTCTTTTTTCTTATTGTCAATGACGCTTAACCATACTTTTTTTTATACTAACAGTAGTAATGCGCTAAATGATTTTTATCTAATTAAATAATGCACCAAAGAACATAGACTAATACCATGCAAAAAGTAATCATTTTCCTCTAACAATCACAATTTTTCTGGCATGCTAACTATGCGACAATAGCCGTTACAAATTTCATCCAAGCTGGTCATTATCTTTCGTGTGGGAACAAAGCTTGTACTAAGAGTGAAATTGACAATTCTAAGTTCAGAACGCAATGTTATATAATATGTCATTTCATAGATGAAAACATTGGTTTTCTACTGGTTATAGATAATATAGACTTAAACGTAAGAGAGAACTATTAAAAAATCCTGAAAGAGATGATATGACAGGTGGGTGTGGCAAGAGAAGTCTGATTTTCTATTTGATGGTTCTGTAACCAAACAAAATTGAAGGCTATAAAAATTATGGTTTGTCTGAGCAATGACGATTTTATAGTGAGTAAGTTATGTTGAATTTTATGCTTATTGGAGGGGTTGTGGATAAAATAGAGAAGAGGAGATGCCTAGAGAAAGTATGTCACACCAGGGGAAATTCAGGATTTTGAAAAATATTGCCTTATAGAATTAAGAACTTAAAACCTATATGCTATTAAATATGGATTTTTGGCTAAGATTTTATGCTATACTAATTGATATAACAAACAAAAAGTGGATTAATAAAATTTTGATGTAAGTCACTAAAACCTCGTGACATGAGCAGTAAAGGATGCCCATCCCAATAGGGTTAAAGAACACTGTACTATTCAACTAATTGAATGTAATTGATTAATGGGGCCATTAATAAACTAATTTACAAATACCACTAATCAATATGCTCTAATAGGAGATAAAAGTTTAACTCAGTATGAATGAACTGATGCTTGGATCACTTTTTTAACAAATAAATTTGAGTACTTATAAAACATACTTATATAATTAGCATGCATTTAAAAATTTACATTTGCTTTTTAATGTTAAATATTCATTTTTAATATTCAATTGCTTGCTGTAGAGTTTTCCTTCAAAGCTACACAAAGGATTATATGTACATAGATGTTCCCAATTTTGAATTTATAGGCTATAAGGAAGGCAGTTAGTGAATAGAACCTACTGCCAATTCTTATCTGACTGAATAATGGGATTTTCCCATCAATCTTAAAGTGCACCCACAGCCCCAAGGTGCAGAGCATGCTTTTAAAACAATATGACACAAACTATGATCTCATGGTTTCAGTCTTGGCATGCTACCCGTTAGGTCATTTACAGTAAAATGTTGTACATCATTTCTGATATATCTTAAAGTCTAAGAAAGTTTCATAGCTTTTCGATTGAGCATTTACATAGTGCTTAAATTGTTGACTTCTAGGCCTATGTAACTGTAAATAACTAAGTACAGATCTACAGAAGAAGTATCTAAAAAAAACAAAGGAAAGATCTAGAGAATAGCTTGTTTGCAACCTCATCAGAAATAAACAGAGAAAATTACACTGAATGTATTTTAGGTTAAGATTAGTTCTTTTATATTCCAATTGGTTGATTCTAGACCAATCAGAAAAAGCATTTACAGTGCCCTGTCAAAAATCCCTGGTAATTCAGTGTATTCTTGAAGATAGATCTATGGTTATGAATTCACAAGCAACTAGTTAAATTCAAAGAAGTACATGAATTAAAACAGAGGTTAAATATACTGGAAATATGAAAAACTGATATTGTGTATGATTACTAACTCTATGCTTCATGAATGAGGGTGTTTTGGGAAAGCCTGTATTGGCAAAATAAAGATTAGATACAAAACTGCTTGGTTCCATTTAACCTGGGGTAAATCATGTGCAATGTTGATGACTGTGGAGTTGCTTCACTCAGTGTTTGAGTGGTGATTCTATATGGGATTGAAGACAAGGAATGACACATCAGGACATATCTGTGAAGTTTCTGCAGGTTCTTCTAAAAGCCCATAGTTATCAAATTTCCTGATCAGCACACCAATGTGTTTTGTCAGTGGGATAATGCTTACTAACTACGGGTGTAAAGTTTAGGCCTGATTTCAAAGCAGCGATATCATGTTTCATTTCTATTAAACATTTTACTACAAAGTACTGTTATGTAAAGCACACAAACATTGGAACAGCACAAGTTGAAACAACTGGAGAGAGCCAAGTCAGATATGTAAAATATGCCATTAAAAGTAACTAAATGACAAAAGAGTATTCTCAGGAGAAACACCTTTATGTAAAATATGCCATTAAAAGTAACTAAATGATAAAATGGTATTTTCAGGAGAAGCACCTTTATGTAAAATATGCCATTAAAAGTAACTAAATGACAAAAGAGTATTCTCAGGAGAAACACCTTTATGTAAAATATGCCATTAAAAGTAACTAAATGACAAAATGGTATTCTCAGGAGAAGAACCTTTATGTAAAATATGCCATTAAAAGTAACTAAATGACAAAATGGTATTCTTAAGGAGAAACAACTTTATGTAAAATAAGCCATTAAAAGTAACTAAATGACAAAATGGTATTCTCAGGAGAAGAACCTTTATGTAAAATATGCCATTAGAAGTAACTAAATGACAAAATGGTATTCTTAAGGAGAAACAACTTTATGTAAAATAAGCCATTAAAAGTAACTAAATGACAAAATGGTATTCTCAGGAGAAACACCTTTATGTAAAATATGCCATTAAAAGTAACTAAATGACAAAATGGTATTCTCAGGAGAAACACCTTTATGTAAAATATGCCATTAAAAGTAACTAAATGACAAAATGGTATTCTCAGGAGAAACACCTTTATGTAAAAT